ACATACAAAGTAACATAACAAATGAACAATAAGAAAACAGATACAGATATTAACTTTTTTTATTTTAATTCTCTTTATTATGTTACTTTGCATGTAATGTTTTTGATAAAAGAAATGAAGACAACATGTAGTACTCAATACTCAACTTCCTTTATTGAATCATTAATTTTTAGCAAAAATACATTATTAGAAATTGATTTTTTCTATACAAAAGACTTAGGTTTACTGAAACCTTGCCAAATTTTGTGAAGCTACATAAATCATATCGTATCGGACAATGTATTGATACAATCGTATTACAGCTTAATGATACGATTATTGTATCGCATTGCTGTATCAGCACACCTTTACTTGATACACAAAAGACCTATTTCGAAGCAGAAATATAAAAACAAAAAGCCAAAGAACATGGAACATAATTAGCAAAGCCTACCCTTGATACAGCTGTATGTAAAAATGTTTTGTTTATATATGACATACCAAGATTCAACATAACATCCAGTGTTTCAGGATTAGAAAGGGTGCTTTCCTTTGACTTTTTTTTTTTTTAATACAAAAAAAGTTTTTAGACAAAATATTCATCACTCTGTGTGTCAGTACAATAAAGGACCAAATTATTGAAGCTGGTGAAAATGCATTAGTATGTTTATACAAGAAAGACAAATGAGGGCTTGGATTCTATGCACTATAATATTTTTTTTTACAACAGAATAGCATAAGGCAAATTAAGAAAAAGACAAATGAGGGCTTGGATTCTATGCACTATATTTTTTTTTTTTACAACAGAATAGCATAAGGCAAATTAAGAAAAAGACAAATGAGGGCTTGGATTCTATGCACTATAATTATTTTTTTTTTTTTATTTATTACAACAGAATAGCATAAGGCAAATTATATGTCAAAGCAAATATTTTGTCCCCAATATCTGCAGCTGCAGATGGAATTAGGTGAAAATTTTGATCAATAAGAGTGGGGATGGACTGTCTGTGGTGATCACATGATTGCTAAACATATTGATGAACCACCTGCAATTATATGTAGTTGGCAAAGCAGGATGTTCAAATCTAAAATTTAGTTGCAGGAAGCATGGATTTCTGTGTTCACCACTATGTGGTAAATGTCATGGGGTAAGATGTGACAATTCCATATATCCTAATCCTGTTGGCATCAATGGTAAGTAATCTAACTAATCAGACAATGCACGTGAATGTACGTCTGTATTCTTATCATTTGAAGTCAGTTTTGCTGTTTCCAAAGTATTTCTATTCTACATCTTTACTACATTAAAACCAATTATTATGACCTATTTAGAAGTTCATTTCCCATTGAGAGTTGATTTACATGTTTACAAAGCATAATAGATGCAATGTTGTCATGAGCATCTCGACATGTATTAAACACGTCTTTATACAAAACCTCAGATACAAAGCCACCTGGTTCAGTAAATAATTACTTTAAAAGGCATGAAGCTTTATTTAAAGCAATGTTTTACCCTTTTTTTTTTTTTTTTTTATTTGAAAAGGTTGCTTTTCTACTGATAAAATGTTATACCTGCTTAGTGGGGGTTGTGTCTTACTCTAGGTATATATTTGCCCATTAATGGTTGGAGACAGCTTGAATGGGTAATGAAGAAAAACTTTAATATAAGTTTAACATAACAGCAAATGTGTAACGTTTCGACAATACCTAATGATGACAAAACCTTGTCGAAATGTTG